ATGTCCTCTTATGATCTCTGTTGGGTACTCCTATGTCTTATTATGACTCTGTTGAGCACATGATGCACATACATACATGCCAGTAAAACATTCACAGCTAAAAATTTAAATATATATTTATTAAAATTATTTATTTATTAAAATATATATTAATTTTAAATTATAAACCAGGTTTGGTGGTTTGCATAAGAAAGACCCCCATAGGCTCATATGTTTGAATGTTTGGTTGTTAGGAAGTAGCACTATGTGGGAGTGATTAGAAGATTTGGAGTAGATGTGGACTTGTTCTAAGAAGTGTGTCACAGTCAGTGGGTTTTGAGGTTTCAAGACCAAACCAGCCCCAGTGGCTTTCTCTCTTCCTGCTTCATGCAGATCAACAAGTAGAACTTTCAGGTACTTCTTCAGCACCATGTCTGCCAGCAGGCCACCATGGTCCCTGCCATGATGACAATGGACTAAATCTCTGAAACTGTAAGCCAGAGACTTTCCGTCATCATAGTGTGTCTTCATAGCAATAGAACACTAAGACAGAAGTTGGTACCAGGGAGTGGGTTATTGCTGTGACAGGCCTGATCATGCTGCTTGTGAGTATAATGTGGTAGACTTTGGGACTCTGAATTCAGAAAGCAGTTGAACATTTTAAGTGGGGCTTAAAGGGCCATGCTTGTAGGAACATGGAATATGGTGCTGAGAGCCATGTAGATTATAATAGTACAGCTCAAAAGGTTTCAGAGGAGAAGAATATTAGTAAGTCACATAAAGACTGTTCTTGTGATATTTTGATGGAAAAATGTGGCTTCTTTTGCCTTGTCCAAAAAAAAATCTGCCTGAGACTAAATTAAAGAGTTTGATGAATGGTGTTGGCAGAAGAGATATCAAGACAACCTAGTACAGACTGTGTTGTGTGGTTATTAGGAATCTCTTATGCAGATTATATTATTAAAAGGAGCAAGATGAGCAAGGAAAAATACAAATCTGCAGTTTGAGGAGAGAATGAGCACCAAGAAGTCTAATGGAGCTTAGTCTAGTGCTCAAGGATATAAAAACTTTAAAGAAAAGACTGATGTTCAATTGAGTAAAGAGAGTAGGGCAAGTCTCCACCTAGCTAAGATTTGAATTTTTGAAAAGGAATTAAAGAAAGCTTAAGCAGTGAAGAAAATGATGAATAACAGAAAGCTGTTACAGATATAACTGAACAAGAGGGCATGTTCCAAAACCAGTAATTAGTAGAACTTTGCAGCTTCAGCCATGTGATTCTGGCTTTAGAGCCAAGGATACAAGAAAGGGGGTGTGGAATCTCCTTCCATGACTAAAGAATGCCACTGAGACCAGGCATGTGTCAGAGGTGTACCTTCATGGAGGCCATTGAATGAAGCTGTGAAGATGAAGCCTGGGTTGAATGGGAGACCCCAAGATGTTGGAGATTCCAGAGTCATGGGATACCTACCAAGAAGAGCTACAGACGGATATAGAACCAGCCTAAGAGAAGTATGCTGCAGTTAACAAAGCTGAAAGTGGTTGGAGACCTGACAAGCACTTTGGCATCAGACATAGAGGCAGTGGTTAGAGTTTACCCTGCTGATTTTAGGTCTTTTTTTTTTTGTCCAGCATTTTCTCACTATGGTCCCTTTCCTCCGTTTTAGAGTGGTAATGTATATCCTGTGCCATTATGTGTTGGAAGTCTGTGATCTGCTTTTTGATTCTGATTTTACAGGAGGTTACAGTAGGAGTTTGTCCCTGGACTCAGAAGAGACTCTTAATTTTGGACCTTTAAAATGATGGACTGTGATAGACTATGTGGACTTTCGAAGTTGGACTAAATGTATTATTATTTTCTTTTTTTGCATTATGATATATAGGTATAAGCCTATGGGGACCAGGGAGTAAAATGTGGTGGTATGAATAAGAATTGTCTCCAATAGTTTCATATCTTTGAATGCTTAGTCATCAGGGAGTGACACTACTTAAGAGGGAGTAGAAAGTATGGCCTTGTTGAAGCAAATGTGGTCTTAGAGGAAGTACGTCACTGGGAGTGGGCTTTGAGATTTCAAAGTCACAGGCCAGTCCCAGTGGCTTTCATTCTTTTTGCTCCCTGCAGATCTAGATGTAGAATTCTCCAATACCATGTCTGCCTTTATGTCACCATGCTTCCCTGCCATGATGACAATGGACCAAACCTCTGAAATTGTAACCCAGCTCCAGTTAAATGCTTTCCTTTATAAGAGTTTCCATGGTCATGGTGTCTCTTTATAAGTATAGACAACTAACTAAGGCACCAGGTTATTCATTCTTAGTGATTGACCTAAGCAAAGAAAATAATAAAAGGAAGTTGAACTTTAAAAAGATTAGAACAGGAATGTTGCTACCCTTACACATCCATAGCCCATATAACAGGATCAAGCCCATACTTTGGAGTTGAGGATGCTGGCTTTATTTCATAACTGTCTCGTCAAATCATGAGCATGATCAACTTAGCCATACACTTAACCTGACTAAGAAAGCAAAATGCCAAAGAGCATGGTTTATCCAAAGCATTTTGGTTAAACCTGAAAATATTTCTCCATCCTGTAGTTTAAGATTAACTGTTGGCTTCATCTTTTTAACAGCAGTTGATGGTTCATTATTATTTAGTACATAGGCCAGAAAAAAAAAAGTTAATAATGAAAGACTTCAATGTTGGACCTGGTAATAGAATCCTAAAGTTATCTTAAAAGAGTACTTTCTAATCAAAGAAGAAGAGGCTCCAGGCACATGGAGTCATCTATCAAGGATAGCTTAATGAGGAAATGGTTCATATCAAGGTCAAACTCAACAAAAAGCACATAATGTTCAAGCCTGATTTTCTTTTCTCTTTGCATATTTGAAAAAACCCTCTATACAGGGTATATGTTGGCATACTAATTCAAATGTTATTCATTGTTCAAGAGGCTATGCAATTAACTGAGTAGTTTTCAACTGCAGACAACTGTAGCATCACAAATTCCTCATTCTGGCAAATATAAGTGAGTAAGCAAGAATGAAAATATAAGGTTGAACAGATTACTATCTCATTCTAACTAAAATTCTTGCTATCACATTATTTTTAAACCATCACCAACATGTTTAAATGATAATTGCATCCTCTCAATGAGCACAGTTTCTTATTATTGGAATTGGCAGGGGGCCCTGACATTTGAGTCACCATCTCATTATGTCTATTTCTTATTCTGGTACACAAATTAAATAGAAATCCAAGCACAGTGAAATTTGGGAGAAGTCTGAGCAGTAACAACTTTAAATTGCAGGGTATTTTTTTAATTTATAGAGTATATAATGGATTAACATTTGTAATAATATATTCTCATTCAGGCAATTTTTTAAAGGCTAGCTTTAATCTTAAAGTCAAAAATGCTTCAAAACTTCTAGACAAATATTGAAGTTTTACAAAACAAAACTGATAGTTTCAATATTCTCTAACTGTAAAAGCTAGAATAATTATAGTTTTAAAAAGCAACTACAGCTGGGTGGTGCTAGTGCACTCATTTAATCCTAGCACTCAGGAGACAAAGGCAAGCAGATCTCTGTGAGTTTGAGGCCAACCTGATCTAAAGAGCGAGCTTCAGGATAGCCACAGCTACACAGAGAAACTTTATCTCAAAAAAACAAACAAATAAAAAGCAACTACAAATGTAGTAAAAGAAAATACATACTTGACAAATTTCTTCCATCCTGAAAAGGTTTCAGAACTCACAGTGATTATCAAATATATAGCATACGTGTTAAAATATTAATAAAATACCTTTACGTGATCAAATACGACCAATAATACTAGGAGCTTTAAACTGAAATATCAAAATGTCCCCAGTGGGAACCTAAGTCTATTCTCAAGTAATTTCAAATCATTGGACTTGTATGAAAAAAATTTTACTGGTGAATTTTCTAAATCACTTGACTTAGCCATTTAAAATAAATGAACATCTTTCTATCATTCTCAAATGTCTTTTTATTTCTTTTTTTCATTCAGCTGGATTATTTATTTATTCATTTTTTTGTTGTTTCTGTCATTTTCCTCATTGTTCATTGTAAAAACCAACAGCTTCCCCAAACCACTTAGAATGCAGAGGAATAGAAAGAGATTCAAAAATATATTATTGGAAACTAAATAAGCATGCATCCAAACATCTACCCTGACAATTAACATGATTTTTCTTATGGATTACAGAAAGTATATCACCAAAAAGCCAAAAGTAGTCACAACTGATTTTTTTTTTACATTTCATATTGACCTTACTGTTAGCTATTTCAAAAAATAAGAGACAAATATTTGCTTGAATTCAACTATCTTTAGGTTTATTTCTGTTATCTCTTCATTAATTACTTATAGTTTTATGGCTCAGATTTCCAAATGGAAACTCAAAAAATAAAAATCTACAGTGAAAATACTATGCATTGTGTTCTCTCAAGGAATGACGTTGTTTAAAGGATAACTCAATCTGAATACTAAAATTTAATTAGTCCACATTCAACATTGGGAGTATACATATTTTTCTTTCTTTTGCTACATAAACATGATATAAATGGAATGTTCCAAGACTGTGAAATTTAAAAGAGATCATAATTACTAAACAGCAGGTTTTTCTCTTTGTTTACATAAAGATAAGTCAGACAACCCTCACAATGTTGAAATTTCTCTCACAGTTTGACTTGTTAATGGAAACATTCATGAATGTATAATGTTAGACTTTTATTGAGCCCTATCATTTTGTAATTGCTGTGGCTATTATTAATAAGTGTCTTCTTTTTATGTGCTGAAATAAATTAGCAAATGAGGCAGACACTATGTAAAAGGCCTGGGAATACAGCCAAATCTTTCTACATACATCCAGGGACCAGTAATCTTCTAAATGGCACTTAAAGCTCTCTTGTCTAAATAATTACAACTATAGCCAGCATGGAAATTATTGAAGTAATTATCCATCCTACTAGTTCCCATCATGCATCTGGAATCTATGGCTACTTACCTTATCTTTATTCTCAGTACCAGAAGCTTCAGGCTTGGTCCTTATCACAAATGGGGTGGACAGACGCAGCAAGACCCTTTCAAAAGTGGCATTAACCTTTGGAGAGACTATCTCAAAACAGTCCTCAAACTTCAGCACTTTGTGAATGTCACATCGAAGCTGCTTTCTTAGGCCCTCTCCGAGCTGAAGAACTGTCATGTTGGGGTCAAACATCAGGTGGAATGGGAAGGCTCTACAGAAGGTATTGATGCTGATTCTGAGATCTGCAGGAACTTGGGAAGTACCCTGTGGAATATTCTTTGTGATGTGAATAGTCTCACATTCTTTGATAAGGAAAGAAAGACAGCTACAATTGCGTGGATTTGAACCATCAGAGCACAACTTCACATTTTCAATTTGCTCCACTTCCACATTCAAATGATAGATTCTCTTTCCTGCAGCCTTAATCATCCCCAGCATTGCAAACCCCACAGTATGGTGAGGGTGGAAGTAGTGGAGCATAAGAGTTCCTTCAGGAAGCTCTTTGCACAGGAAAGATGGTGACTCCAGAGTGGCCTGTTTCCCGAAAGAAGTCCTAATGTGTTCCAACAACGCATCAAAGCCATTGAAGAAGTCCTGCAGTGTGCCACCTACAGCTCGAAGGACTCTCTCATTCTCATCAAAGCATATCTTAAAGAATTCCTCACCAAATCTTTCTTGAATTTCCTGGAACTTCAGACCTAAAGGTAAAGAAGAATAAAAAATGTTAGTAACATGGGCTAGGAATTGAATATATAGCTTTCAAGACACTCATCTAAAGAGGCAGTAATTGAGAACTGGAGAGATGGTTTAGTGGTTAAGAGCATATAATACTCCCAATGAAGTCCTGAATTGAGTTCCCAGTATCTACATCAAGTAGCACAGAACTGCTTCCAAGTCTAGATTCAGGAGAATTTAATGACTGGCCTTGTGGCCTCATTCACATACCTATACACAGGCACACACACACACATAATTCAAAATAAGTATTTTTAAAGGGTATCACATTAAGCAAAACAAGTGACATATTTTCCTGAGACCCCAAATTACCTACAGAAGTTAATTTTAAATTAGAGAATAATTTTTCAATTAATTTGAATGCTTCTAAGATATTAGGGAAAATTTGATTTTTTTTAACGTTTAAAAAGACTATTCTGCTGGGCGGTGGTGGTGCATGCCTTTAGTCCCAGCACTCAAGAGGCAGAGCCAAACAAATCTCTGTGAGTTCAAGGCCAGCCTGGTCTACAGAGCAAGATCCAGGACAGGCACCAAAACTACACAGAAAAACCCTGTCTTGAAAAATTTTTAAAAAAAGATTCTATTTTATAGACAAATAGACAAATATTAGATTCAGGACAAAAATTAGTAGAAAGTAAAGATATTCTCTACTATTCCCTCTGTACTCCACAGACACATAAATTCCCCTATCATGTCTGTATTCTCTTTCCATTCATCTCTTTCTTCCCTGTGACTCACAGAGTGGGAACTTTTTAAATACTAATAATCTAGAAATTAATTTTCTCTTTAATACCCCATAATTTAAATAACACAAATGACTTATTCATTTTCTTAATGATTTCACTAATCCTTACAGGACAGGGACACACACAAACATAGATAAATACACACACACTTATGCATTCATTAGGTGGAAAGTAGCTATCAAAGAGATAATCTGTGTGTAGTGCATGTGTGGGTAAAAGCATCAAGCTATTCAGTGGAAATAAAGTGTTTATACTAACATAACAGGATAAATCATGCAATTTAAGTAGACTCCATTGAAAAAGAAACAAAAACAAATATAAAATTGTAGAACTTGAAATCACTAGCATTCTTTCAAGCACAAAAATGAAAGAAGCCAAGAGTAGAGTAGGAATCTGAGTAGAGAGAATCAAGATGTTTGTTTTCCTAATATGCTTCCCCAGTTGTCCTAGAAAAAGAAACTCTACCTTACAGCAATGCTTTATAGGGTAATCAGAGGCACAGAGTTTCCTCTTTAAGGATGGTTGTTGTGTGACATTTTGTTTGTGTTCTGACAAATAAAGCTTGCCTGGAGATCAAGGGCTAGCCACTAGTTAACCATAGAGGAAAGGCAGTGATGGCTCACACTTTCACTTGCAGCTCTTGGGAGGAGGAAGCAGGAAGACCAAGGAGTTCAAGGTCACCCTGGAGTACACCAGACTGAACCAGTCTAAAAGAGAAACAGAGTCTGGTGGTGGTGGTGGTGCACTCCTTTAATCCCAGCACTAGGGAGGTGGAGACAGGAATATAAATCAGGTGGAGACAGGATCTCTTCCAATTCCATCTGAGGATTCAAAGAGGTAAAAGTTTCTAGTGGCTGCTGCTCTGCTTCTCTGATCTTTTAGCTTTCACCTTCAATATCTGACTCCATGTTTTTATTGTTAAGACCAATTAGGATCTCGATTCAGATGGTCTGAGGAAAAACTGGAGGAGAGGTATTATACAAACAGGAATGGAGTCACACTATGGCATCTCCTTTGACTGAAATTAATACCTGTAGTTTACATATCATTTCTTGTACAGCCTGTCCATCTTATAAGGAATTCTGAAAATCAAACAGGACTGATACACTCTCTTTTTTGTTGTTTTAAGGAAAGAAAGGCTTATTTGGGCTAATAGCTTGAAGGTTCTTTCCATTATAACCCAAACAGCAGCAAAAACTGAGAATGTGAATGCTTGTGTTCAGACCTCTTTCTCCTTTTTATTCAATCTACAGCCCAACTCATGGGGCCACCCACATTCAAGGCAGATCTTCCCATCTTAGTTAACCTGTTCCCCCACCCTCACAGGAGTGTCCAGAGGCTTGTCTCTTAGGTGATTCTAGATTTATCTCAAGTTGACAATCAATATTATTATCACAATTCTTCCATTTAGATTCTTCCTTTGTTGTTGGTTTTAATGCCCCCTGTTTACTCAACCACTCAGAGAGGAAATCTGTACATATCATCATATACCAATGAATAAATCACTTAAAACTCTGAGGTAGTCTGAGGAATATTCTTATACAAAGTTTGGCAGACTATGATGCTAATTATTTTCTTGTCCTTTCAATTTAGAGAGATCCGGAGGGATTAACCTTCCAAAATCCTCATCTCTTTCTTAATGTCCTATTAGAGTGCACAGCAATTTATGCAGTGTGTGGCTTAATTTGTTGTGCTCACCTCTTTTTATCCTTAGGATGTTCCCTCCCTCTAGAAGGGAAGTAACAGAACAGTCAACAACGTTATTTTTTTACTATTCATTTTAAACACATCAAATAGCTTAAGACTTTTCCATAGTCTTGACATTGCGATAACCAAAATAAGAAGTCAGTTTTACAAAGGTATCTTTACAACTATTGTGAAATGAAAATAAGTGAAAAATTTAATGATAAAAGCCCCTTTGTTAAAACATTTTACATTAACTTTGATTTTGCAGGTTTGATGTTCAAAGTTAACTAGCAATGTAACCTATTGAGATAACAGCCATCACCCAGTTTACATGGGCCTGCTATGAGATTACTGTTCTACATGCGCTGTACAACAATAGAACTAGACAGAACTGATAGTATTGATCTGCCCAGCTCTCTAGAGTGGAAGAGAAAAAACGGGGACAGATGATATTCATAGAAACTTGGCTCCTGCTCTAAGTGATCTGCTAGAAATGCTTTCAAAATTATATAAGCCAGTGTACACTGTTTTTTTCTTTATTTTGCTTAATTTTCTTAGTTGTCTTCACTTTAATTTGATACTGTCCATGATTTCTTCCTAACTCTCTTATCTTTCATAGCTTATTGAAAAGTAATTTCCTGGTATAATAATTATGTGTTTTGAAAATCTATTCCCATATTCTTCATGAAAACTCAAAAAATCAAAGTCTTAGGAGACAGCTGAGAGAGACCCATTTCTCCCTGGGGCTCTAGGCAGGAGTTAGATGCTGCTAAAGTATTGTTTAAAATAGTTTTAAAATTACTTATGATGTTAATTATTTAAATTCTTATCATACATCATCCTATTGTTCATTTTCCTCTAAAAAGCAAATAATGTAAAAGGGTAGAGCACTTTGATGTCCTTCGTGTAAGTTGGTGGACATTCCATTGCTGCTGTAGATACCATAAGCAAAAGTACTACCAGTCATGTAGCCAACTGGGTGGCCATTATGCCACAATGTGGCCGTCCACCAGCATGTGGAACACCTTACAGGTGCTTTGAGAAAACTACACAATAACCGTGACTGATTTCTTTGACTTCTAAAGATATAGCCTCAGCCAAGACTGTCCAAGTAAGATCTCAGGATGTATATGGAGGCTTCTCAGGCTTACTCATTAGGTCATCTGTGCTGTCCCCTCTGGTGCTACAACATTTGGACCAATAAAAAGCTTCTCTCAATTAATATTTTCTTGCCTACTTTCAGTAATATTAAAATGGAAGCAGAAGAAGCAGAAGTCAGGCAATTTGGCAGAGACAGTAGAATAGTGGTGGGAGCAATAGCTGAGCAGTTGGCAAGACACCCGCTGAGAGTAATGGATACCTGAAGAAGAATCAGATGAACAATTGGAGAGTGGTGAGGACAGGAAGGACAGGAGACTGAAAGCAAGGGTGGAGCTAAAGAAGGATAAGAGGACATAAGAATACAGAGAAGAAAAGTGAAGGTCTTGGCTGCCAGATAAGTTCCAGAGAGCTGACAATTCTTTAGGAACAAGAGTCCTAGAACTGTGGCATGCACTGATGTTAAGGGTTGAGAAATCTTGATTTTCTAGGCAGACCCAAGAGTTGTAATACTTGAAGGGTTAAGGGTTTACAATCACCACTGCCTGCATAAGGAATGTGACTATAGAGGGTGTTACCTGTTGCCTTCCCCTGCCCACTGCTTCAGCTCACTGCTGCCAAAGACCAGCATTTATAGAGCTTCTTGCCTACTCATGATTTCTATCCAGACAGTAAAAGCTGGTTAATGGCTAGCACCTACATCATCATCAATATGAATAAATAAAAAATTGAATGCATACAAATCACAATAATGCTTACCTTGATGATAGTATTATTCATTACTATGAAATGTTATGTTGATCAGATTTTTATATATATGAATATTTTATATATATTATACATATTTTATATATGTGTATGTATTAAACTAAAGCCAGAATAAACAGTGCTGTAATCTGGTTTTTTTCATATGTACCTACTATATTGCATGGAGTGCTTCTAGGTTTTAAAGAAAAATATTGTCCAAAAACTTCAGGTTTTTGAACACAGAACAGAAAAATTATTGCTTGTAACTGGTATTGATGTTCAAAGGAATGAAAATGCACTCACAGTTAAGTGGAATACATACATGTAAAGACAATACAGTATGCTCATGGATGTTATCTTATTAGTGTCAGATCTTAAATATTCATCCAAACAATAACCAGTAAGTAAATGTACCAGAGGCAGCCAAATGAAAATTGCTGTGTGTACAGGACTCTATCAACAAGAAATCTTTGCTGCTTTAAAAAGTATATCTGTACCTGAAAGCACAATGACTATCAGTTTTCCAATGATCTCACTCGGGCACACAGCATGATACTAAAGTTACTCTCATATCACTAAAGACAATCAGTTGGTTTGAACAGTGTACTATGTATGACAATTTTCTTAAAGCACTGCATTTAATTAATTGTAAAGATTTTTATCCCCATAATTGTTAAACTGAACAA